GTATGTTTGCAGGAATGACTGTATCCTATAAATACTGCAAACTCCTGTGCATCCGCTATCCATATCTACTACTGCTCTTTGACTATGTCCTTGGTGATGAATCCGCGACGGATCTCGGAACATCAGGCGAATAAAAGTATTGGTCCAGTGATCCATTCGTCTTCTCCTCAAACTCAGCTAAGGCATGCATCAATCGCCATTTCGATTTAACTGCCAAAAAGTTGTCAAGAGCAAGTGGAAGGAGCGCATTCAGTGCCGATCAGAGGATAACTTAAAAGTTATGCGAGTTAGTGTAGGCTTCGGCCACCCCCAGATTCTTTGCTTAATAGCGGCGAAATAGTTAAATGTTTTTGTACTTCACAGGCGTAAAACTCGATTTTTCCGAAAAGCCTTTTTTCTTTATTTTTTCTTGGAATGCATACTGGTGATGATTGTTCGAACATAGATTTCGATGAAGTCCCATATGTGCTCCAACCAGGTCGGTGCAGGGAGAGTGAGAATACATACTACCTCAGTTATTCGATATGTATATTTTCCTGTTTCGAATCGTGGAAAATACGCGAGAGCTAGGGACTTGAATGGAAGACAGGAAAGCGTTCTCCGGACCATGTATTTATTCCTCCATCGTCAAGGAATGAGATATTTGTACAACTCACTTTGTATTTAGCCCACCTCCGCCGAGTATGATTTTCAACTGAGCCACTGATTTGATAACGCAGTGCTTGAAAAGCGGCTGGCAAATCGATAGCTTATTGGTCGACTCCACGGTCGAGTTCCACGCTTCCTGTAAATGCATGAAATCCGGTCGTCCGACTGGCCTAAGATTCCCACGCACTCGAAGTCAAAGCTATTCTGTGGCGAGGACGTGTGGACGGCCACTAACAAAAGATTATCGTTCCGTTCCATAGCCAGTCCGTGTTCATGTTACCTCGTGCAGACCTCTTTGCCAGTTTCATTTACCAGCGTTGTTTAACAGATAAGTGAAGTTAGCGAAATTCGCAAAAGGGTCGGAGGAGCCGGGGCATTCAACTGTGCAATCGATCAACAGGCATGTTGATTTTTAGCCGCTTGTCAAGTACTGCGTTATCAATTGAATTGCTCAACTGAAAGTCATACTCGGCGGAGGTGAGCTAAATATACATTCACTTTTACAATTATGCCATTACTTGAAGATGGGCTCGCGTGAGAATTGGAAACGCCAGATTAATAAACATATAGTCCTAGAGAACGCCCTTCCATCTCCCATATTCCTATTTGCATAAATACCTGACAGGCAGCGACAGCGCATAACAAATGGCGAGAACCATACGAAAATGGTTCGATTTTGGAAGCCAATAGATTGGTGTGCGCCTATTCCTTTTTGGATACATATCTTCAGCAACAAAGAATGACAGGTGGTGAGGCACTGATGAACTTCGGTTTGATAAGGTGCTTACAACTTGTCTCCTAAATCCAGGCTGGGGGACAATCTACAGCGTACTCGAGCTCAGATTTGTGGTTACAGTTCCAGCTGGTAAACAGGATAGTGATTGGCTGAAAGAAAGCAGAATAAGTTCGTAACAGACCGTATCAATCTACCCGAATTTATGTATGCGCAAAAGGTTAGTTTAGTAGTAAAGAATGAATAGATGTCAAAAAGAGGTCTGCGTACTTACTATGCCATCAGAAACTTGGGAACGGTTAAGGCCAAGTAAGAATCGCTTGAAATCATTTTGATCCTGTTCTTCCGGATCACGGTCAAATACCGAAAATGAGCCGGGCTCCAAGCTCCTGACATAGTTCTTAGTTCCAGCTACATAAAGGGGTAGAGATACTGTTGAAAATGTGA